GAGCCATGTCTCGCCTCACCTCAGACATCTCAGTCTCAGACCGAATCCAAGACCAACCGGCTCTTCTCGCAAGTGATTCGCAGGGAAAACCGAAGTGAGTGCTTTCCACCACTCAGAGCGAAGACGATCCTTCGATTTGGAGTGGCTTTCGTGGTGAAAGACACCCATCTACGGAGCAAAAAGCATTAACCACGGTTTGTCTTTAGTATAAGAGTTATAAGAGCTTTTGTATAAGTAATCGCATCACTTATCTTCCTCATCATCCAATCCAAGCAAAAGCCGCCACCAACCATCTAAGGCCAACCACGCGACTGCGCAGTCGCAGAAAAGCCGCCGAGAGGGGTGTGGGGGGGGGATGTGGGTTTGGGGGTTGCAGTTGATAGCTTCTGATCAGGTGTCTTAGGATACAGTGATCGCCACAAGAAGATCAAAGAGCTTCGATCGTCTGAGCTAGCGGCTCCAGACAAGACAGGGGACGGTGGAACGGACGGAACTCATGTGCTTTGAGAAGTGAGACACGTGCGTTCGTGGATGGGGGCCTTTGAGCTAAGAGTTTGTACGGAAACTGGTCCAGCATAAATAGCGGCTGTGTTTCGTGCCCTGTGTTTGTGTTCTTTTTGAGGGTGTCTCCTTATGGATGCTTCATGACAAATCCATTCCATGGAAGGCGTCACCACAGCACGAGTGTAACAAAAGATACAAATGTGTGTGTGTGTGTGTTTTGGGGCATTTTCAGATGAAGAGGACACTAATGTACTAATCAAGTGTGTTTTTTCTCTAGGACTAATGGTGATCTCCTATCTAACCCAGCAAAGATGCGTCAGAAAGCCTCGTGCCGCTTTCGCGCCCGCGCCTCCCTGCGCCTTGATTTTTGCGGTTCAAGTGATGTGTCACCAGGACATTGTGCCGTTTGGAGCACTCTGTGCTTCAGCGAAAATGGCGAAACCCGCCCAAATGAAACAAGACGAAGCGAAGCGGTACCTCCAACAAGAGCCTTAGGTAACACATACGTTCTGATTGTTCAGAATTCATGTGTGTTTTCTTTCGTCACGAGGTCCTCAACACCTCGCTGAAACCCAGCTTTCACGGCGCCTAAAGGCGCGTAGAAATCGGAGGCGCAAAAGATGCCGGGACACCTGGTGAAACATACACCTGATCACCTGGTGACACCGGTGGAACCTGAAGATACACCTTCCCTCAAGATGAAGAGCAGCTCGCCGTTGTCAAAGAGGTTCTTCCAGCAAGTTAGCTTGAAAGGCTTGAAAGGATTGCATCCTGCTGAGATGGGTCCATTTATAGACTGATTGGAGGGGGGGGCAAAATGGCGGTCATTCTTCGCAGATTTCATGAGGGCATAGTATTTTGCATATCCACTCATCCACTCTATTCTTTGTGTGTCATCGATGGATGTGTTTCAAAGTGAACAAAACACACCAATGTGTGCTTGGTGGAGCTTTTCACGTCATCATTGGGCAAGAGCAAGTATTTTGCAGGTTGTTCCTCCAGTAGCGAAGAAGCCACCAGCTCACCCCACGCCCTGCCACCCTGCTTAGGAACAGCCTCTCGGTTGCTCGAGTGGCTGGCGCTGGCCAGGCTTCGTGGAGTTGGGGTTCGACTGGTCCTTCTACTTCTCACAGAGCATGATGCAGCAGGTTTGAGGAACAGTCTCAGTGTCCACCTAAAATTTTTGGCATCCTCAATGACTTTGCGGCGCTGAGTTCCTTAGTTCCAAGCCCCTTGAAGGGCTTCGAAAGCCAGAGTCCGTGACCTCACCTCAAAGCCCCGAAGGTGATGCCCTTAGAAGCCGCACGGCAGCGTGGAGCGTCCAGCTTGACCTGCTTAGCGGGGAGAGAATGGCGAGCAGTGCTAGCAACGGCGAGCGGGGCTTTCGGGATGTTATTGGGGGCTCCCCACATTCGAAAGGCCTTGCTTATAAAGCCTATATAGCTGGACAGGTTTGCTTGGAAATCATTGACACGTTCTTTTCTTCGATCTTCCCAAGATAGAGAATCCAATGGTTGTGAGCCGTCAAGGGTTGTTTCTGTTCTATTGTAAAGCTGTCAGGTGATGGCTATGTGGCCTTCCAGTGTTTTTTTCATGCTTTTTCCTTAACCCAGTGAAGTTGGATGTGAGGTGGGTAGAGAAAACTCCTTTTCATGGTGGGTAGAGACAATTCCTTTTATATGGACCCCGATCTACTAGACATCTTGGGGTGCCAGTGCCATCTACTCTGAAACCACTGTATGTTCTTTTTCGTCTGCTGGAAGCAGCGACAGATCGAGGATTTCCTCCGTGATGCTTTAGTGATCCGAAGATCAACTGTCTTGTTTGGAGTGCGTTCTTGGGGGACTCTTGAGAACAGAAACAAACAATCCATAGACAAACTGGAAAACAGAAGCACAACAAATCCCAAAGAAGAAGTAGACTCTACCGGCAGCCCAGATACACCAGTGTCACGAGCCCAGAAACACCTTGGATCATCCACTCATCACGACCTCTCCGCGACCGTGCCACGTCCGTGGCGCCGACTTCGCTCGCGCTCGCGCCAGCACGGTGCGGAAGAAGCTGCATGTCCTGGAAGAGATGCGCGCCTGGGTCGGTGGGGGTGTCCACGTGTTGAAGCATGGGACCATGTGACACCACGGGTTCCATTCCTCACAAAGCCACTCATGATTACAGATAGGTCATCTAGATTCTAGATCTAGATGATTCTAGCCTATAGGTACAATTTGCATCAATTTGCATTTTTGCAATGCTCAGCTGCATTGGTGGGTAAGTATAAAAAGGTGTTTTGGGCGGATGTGGCCAGGATGACCTGAGAAAAATTGCCATAAGAAAGATATGCATGCAGATGCATAATATATATACTATATATTTAATATATTGCCAGCACGTTTTGGACCCACCCCTTTTCCCCAAGGAACCGTCTAAAGATTGGCTCCGCTGGCGTTTTCTTCTCCTTCCTCAGTCCAGCCAGGTACGTGAGGGATTGGTCCACGCGGATTGACGCGGAGGTGGGGTGGTGGAAACGACAAACCGTGGACGTCAAAACGAAGCACCGTGTCGTAACTCCTTTGAAAGGGCATGTTGGCAAATAGACTTGAGTCTGAAGCGTATTGGCAGCTTTGCAGATTTGAAGGTTGTAAAGATTCTATACTAGATTCTATATAAGGGGGAATAATTCAATTGTATAGTTACATATGTGGTGTTAAGATGTCTTAAGCCTCTTTGTGTCAGGATACCAGTGTTGTTATGATGTTTCTACATCTCATGGCCATGTCATGCCACAACTGGTGAGGTCGAATTTATGATAGTGATCCAACGTTAGGGGAACATGAGCGTAGAACGTTGGAGAGATGAAAGGGACAGAAGTTGCGGTGGGGTTGTTTCTTGACAATTGTTTAGCATTTCGAAACTCCAGTAAGAAGGGTCATGCTGTCATGTAACGCAAGAAAAATGCACAGAACAGCAAAAAAGGAGAAGAACACAACCATTTGCCGCGTTTTTCAAGGACCGGGGGGGGGGAATTCCTTTCAGAAGTGGACGCGTTCCAGTCGCTTTTTTTGTCTCAAAATCACCTTCAAAGTCATCGGTCGTGGTCGGCAGAGACCTTCCATGACCTTCCGCAGCTTTTGAGTGAGCGAGGTCAAGACGAAGGAGGAAATGAGCCAACACCTCTCCCAGGCATCAGCGGCGTGCATTCCTGCCATGGGGAATGGGGAAGGTTGTTTCTTTTTTTGTGGTTACGTAGCCGATGCAAAAGCCTGAGAGCGAGAGAGCTGCAGTTGCTATAAATATTTTTCGACCACCCCTGGCTGTCACATGAGCATCACAACCAGTAGTAATTCTGTTGCTTGCTTGTTGGAGTTGATCTAGAAGGAGGATCCATGAGAGTCGCCTCAGCTTTCGGGTTGGACCTGGTGTGTTCTGATAGTCAGTGACTGAGCTGCAAGGTCACCACCACCATGCCAGAAAAACGGCTGTGAGTATTCAGCCCCGTACCCTGGATGGTCAAGCTCATGTTGAGAAAGACCAGATCCGCTGTTTGCTTTGGACATGCTTCTCAGCACCGGTGAAGACCGGTGAAGACCTTACGCACCGGTTTTTGCGCCTTCAGGCCAAGGTGCAGCTTCAGAAGGTGCGGCAGTCGCGGCTTCCCAGTGGCCGGCGCCAGTGCGGGACATGGGATCCGGGTTCTAATTGTCTTGGGAGTCGCGATTAGGTGGTTCTTCGTGCATGTCGCAGGTCGAGTCAAGAATGATTTTAAATGGTGGAATGTCATGATATTGTCGTGATTTGGTTCCCGTGATCCCATTGCTGTTGTTGATTGGAATGCTTGGACTTTGGTTTGGCATCCAGATGTCCAAGCAAGCCAACCGCTTCTGAACGGGGAGAGGACGATCAACTTCCAACATCCTCGATTCTCCAACCTGGCTCAGCTTCAGCTTTTTGAAGCTTCATTCAAGTCACCGGTGTGGGTCAAACCATGGGTTTACGTGCGGGCCAAGATGCCGACATCAGTCCATGTACTTTGGAACCTCCAAAGTGTAAAATGGAAAAAACAACATTAACAATCATGAACACAAGCCATTTTGTAAGCATGTTCTTCTGGATTTTGTGAGAACAAAATATAGGTGCACGCGGAGTCGTCCTGACATATCTGACATAATTATTTGCAATGCGAGCTCCACCGCTTGAGCGTCTCAAATAGATGGGTAGACTTCATGGGGTACCCGGGCATGAACTGAGAATTGAAGATGAACGTGGCATTAAGATGCACAAGTTGCGAGTGACAATCTAATTAAGACTAAGACATTATTTTGAATTTTGGGTATACGCATCTATGATTTGTAGCTCGAGGAGCTCGATATTGAAAGTTTGCACATCACTCCGTGTCCTATCACTCTTTAAGATGCAACCGAATGACTAATGCAAAGCCAATGAATTGCTGCAGATTAGGTCGCAGCTGTTTACTTTATTATAATATATACTTCGCTTCCATGGCTGCCTTCGCTACAGCCGTGACAGCCGTCACGCCCGTGACACTTCATCCTCCCAGCACTTCCTGGCCGCGCTTGGGCCCCACACCCCGCCGCTGGACGCCGTGGACGCCCATGGCCCTCGGCAGCGCGGCCGCGCACGTCCGTGCCGCGCACGTGCGCGTCCGGCGGCGCGCGGCGGAAACGGACGCGGAGGAGCTGCCGCGGCGCGCGGCCGTGGGGGCGGCAGCCACACTGGGCGCAGTGCTGGCGACGGATGCCACGTTGAGGGCGCAGGACGAGAGGTATGCTGCGCTGGGGACGATTTTGGCGCCGGCTCCTTACAAGGAGATTCTTGGCTTTGCAGGGCAAGCACTTGTTACGGTACTTGTAGATTTGTAGACTGAGTAGATTTTGTAGCTGATGTGCATTTTTTTGGATGTGCTCATATGAGCTCGGCTGAATTGACGATATTGCCTTGATTTCGGGATGCTTCGACTCATAGGATGGTGAATTTTGTGATCAAGCTGGGGAAGTGCCAGCCTGCCTCATCTCAGGAACTTGCGAACTGCAAACCATTCTTAGCATCAGAGTGCAGATGATCAGCACGGAATTTTCACAGATGAATGATCCGACAATAGGCCAAGAGTTTTTTTTTTCTCCGTCCCGCTTCCGACACAAAGGACGGTGAGAACTGAACTGGTGCCGGGCCGCATTTGGGGCTTTGAGCAATGCATTGCGCTGGCCTCGGTTTCGACCAACATCCGGACGGCCGAGCGTTGGATGTGTTGGCTGGTCGATGGGTGTAGATCTTGGGGAGGCTCCCCAGCCGGGGTGGATTGTGCCTCTTCCAGCCAGCAGCTTTTTCCAGGTGGCGAGTGGCTATAGTTAGTGGCATGTGCCCACATGTGCCCTATATGAAAAGGATTGATCCACCAGGACGAGTGGGGCAGTATTGGTGGCCCGATGTTGGCCGATGGCCATCCAGAATAATCCAGAGATCCCTTGCCAATCCTTGCCATTGGATCATTTAGGATCAAAGAATCCTCAAAAACCGGAAGTGGACTGACAAGCGGATAGAAACATAGGCACATACAGGCACTGTAGGATCATTCAGCTTGTTTTGTTAATGTTTTTTTCTATAGTTTGTTCTAGTGCTTCCAAGTCAAGGGTGTGTTCTTTAGCCCATCCGGCTGCTCCGGCTGATCATCAAACCCACAGAGGGATGTGGTCGTCTCGACTGAAGGACCTAAACGACGACACCAAAAAAGGACCTTTCAATCACCAAAATTGGCATAGGTGAAACTGAGACATGCTTCGCTTTTGATTGCGTGGTGTTTCCGTCATGTCATATACGTTGAATGTTCGCACAACAATTTGTGTTTTTGTAAGTTCGTTTGAAGGATTTTGGAGGCTATTTTGGACTTTTTGGACTTCCCAGGCCTCAAATCCCACCAGAGCTTCGAAATAGCTTCGATCGCTCCTGCTTTTGCTCCCCCATCTTCCGCGCTGTTTTTCCTGACTCTCCAACCTCCGTGACTACCAGTGACTACCAGCCAGCCGAAAAACCTCCAGCCAGCAAAACACACATCAGCCTCGCGGTGAGGATGACGGCGGTGAAGCTGAAGGACGGCACGTTGTGGGTCTCTGCTCCCATTTCGCCCACCCGCCAGTGCTTGCGACTCCTGGAGGCCCGGCTTCATCGGACGAAGGAACGCACGCGACGCCACGGAGACCGGTGGACTGAAATGGTCAAAAGAAGACACCGAACCACACGAAAAACCTGGTAATTACAAAGGGTGAGCTACATGTAGTGAGCTACAAAGGGTGAAAGATGGTGAAAGAGTGAGCTACCATGTAGATCCAACACCCATAGAACACACATGCCCATCCTTTTGGCACAGTTCGCTCACTCGAATGCAAGCAGCTCAAAATCAGGGATTTGATTTGCAGCCAGGCTTTCTCCAAGAGTCTCCTTGAAGCAGACATGCCAATGCATTTTTGATGCTTTGCAAGCTTCCATGCCGGTTACCAGAGTTCGGCTACCAAACTCGATGAATCCAATCCAAGGAGCCTGATGATTCGGTAACCGCGAGGGAGAGATCTCCAGCATCCAAACAATGGGGAAGATTCCAACACCTCCCTCCACCCCAAAGCCCCCCAATTTCGATTGTATTAGATTGTAAACACTCATCATAACTGAATCTTCCAACTCTATGCCAAATTTCAGCCTTTTGGTTTTTCTATGGATGACAATTCTGGATAGAAAAGGCGCGCTTGTGACTGTCATACGTTTTCAGATCCAGATCCAGGTATGATGAGTTCGATCCATCCACAGTCCCCCTGTTCTTCCGCACGTCGCACGTTGATGGCGCGGTCGTCACCGGTAGGAGTTGGGTCCGGTGGCACATCTGGTGGTGCCCTCCTCAGCGCTGGTCCCTGGGCGGCAGGTGGCCAGTGGACATCGGTCGCAGAGTGCGGTTTTCCGGCCAGTGGAAATCGTGAAATCCATGCGAGGCTAAAATCAGACTGGTACAGATATGTACAGATTGTTTGATATGATATGATGGATATGTGATTTGGAATTTGGCCACCTCTTTGTTGAAAGCATCACCTTTGGAGAACTTGGCTCTGTCCAAGTTCTCCGACCAAGCGCAGGGAAAACTGTGCTCCGGAATGTTTTTCCTAATTTGGCGAGGTGTTACTGTAACTGGATGCGCCCTTTTCAGTCATCAGGGGACATAAACACCCCAGAAGCTGCGCCCCGCCGCGATTCCAAACACTCAGGAGCACAAAGCCTCCTTGTCCGAGTTCACCAAGTTCTATCCCAAGGTGTGATGGGCTGCAAGCGTGGTGTTGGACAAGATGGGAAGACCAGGGACATCCCCAAAGGTGGCAGGCAAATGCTCATTTGAAGCTTGGGGGCAACCTACTCTGAAAATCATTGCTCCATTGATATATCTAGATTCTATAGATATACATATTTAAATGCGACTTCTAGTGGTTCCATGTTGTTGGGGCAAGTGGGAACCATCGATGGCCATGGAACGTGTCAATAAACCACAGAACGGATCAAACATGTACTATGGGCATGGTGATCATCTACGATAAAGGTCTCTCACATGCATCTCTTCCCACCAACTCCAATAAATTCCAGCCAATTACTGGCAACATATACCAAAATATTCACTAATTTACAAACTCAGGATCATGTTCAGAATCCCAAGGTCGAGAGCCAGTCCGGAGCGACCTCCGACGACCGGCACCCAGTTGAGGCCTCCATTTGGGCAGTGCCCGGTTCCACCAAGGGCCTTTTCGCAGTGCCCAGCAGTGCCCAGGTCTTGGGGCATGGAGCTTAGTGTTTGACGGAACGTGGCGGAAAAAGCACAGCCAAGGGCTGATGTAGGATGCGTTAGTTCACTCCTTGAAAGGAAGGAAAGGAAGCAAGTAGGAAGTAGGAGTTAGGGTGAAGTGGAGTTAGTTGCACTAAGCAAGTTGAGATCGGAAGTGGAGTTAGTTCATCAACTGTTTGGTCCTCGGAGTGGGCTCCCCAGACATGAATTGAAACGCCTCTTCGGGCTTGCTTTATGAATCAATGATTCTACATTGAAGGTCCTGATCCTTCAGAGTACAGACCTAGCATGGGCCATCTATGACGTACCATGACATGCATAGACTGTTGAACTCGTTTCAACCACCGAAATGTACAAACAAAACCATACATTAGTGTTCAATAAGAGAGTCCTTGGACCAGAATTGACCATTTGCCTGTCTTTTTCGGACCGTTTTCCCCATGACCTCGGGTCAGAATGAGTCGATCCTCGCCCATGACCTGCGGCGCGTCGAGGTCGACGGGACCAACGCCACCCTGGGCTGATGAGCTGGAATGCAAGGCACAGCGATTCTTGTCCCTTCACTGTCGTCTGAGGACGCGTGAACATCACGGCACGTTAACGGCATGGTGAGGTGTGAACGATGGAAGCGTGCCCTTGGGGCCAAACGTGGGATGAAAGTGAACCAAAGGTGCTCAGAAATATTCCATATATACGTCCATATACCATGATTGAGGACTGTCACACTACCCCCACCAGCGCTAATTAGCGTGTTTTAGTTTGGAACAACGCTGTTTTCCCAGCACTTTGGACAGCAGGTCTTCTTCGTGGAGCCTCCGGTGACCGATTTGTTTGCAGAGGCGGCCTTCTTTCACAAGGCGGGGATGGAACGACGAACAACTGGAGATCCACGGCAGGTGTGGCGAAGAAAACAGCTGATGGTAAGCCAGTCACACTCAGGTCACGCTTGCTCCAAGTTGCTGGGGTTCCCAGCGTGGGTATCAGCAGAGCAACGCGGGGTGAAATTGGAACGATATCAATATCAGATATGTGATGATATGTGTTATCGGCGAGGGAGGTAAGGGTTTTCTGGGTCTAGTTGTGCGCTGTGGCATGATATATTCAAAGGAAATCCAGCTGTGTTCATTATCAATCGTGTGCTTTACCCAGAGTTTGCTTCTAGTGTAGTCATTGTGCTAATGAGATTGAACTTCTGAAAATAAAAGTTGCAGATGCACTCCGCCCATTTTCACCGTGTAGAGGTGTTTGAGGTTGGTCAACTCTCCAAATCCTTCCAGGAGACGCGCACCTTGCTGGTCACAGACTGTGCGCTGAAACTGCCGCAGTCTCCGCCAAAGGCACCGGCGGGGACGGGCTTCGTGTGCAGCAAACCCAGTCAGTGGACAACCTTTAACTGGGGATGGGTTTCCACACTAGAATCCGACAGGTGGAGAAAGGTTATACAACACTATATGCAACCTTCATTTTCCAAGGAAACTGAGGGGGTCAGAGTATAGCTGGATATAGTATAGACAAATGGAATGTTCGAGTGTCATGGGTTTGCTGCGCGTGAAGGTGATTTGCTGCGCATCAAGTGCTTTGTTTTTATCTACCCTGGCAGTTGTGCACCTTCCAAAGGGGTCATGCCGTCATGCGAAGCTTCTTCTGCGCCCAGCTCAGGGAACCGCACTTGTGGTCCATTTCACTTCTTTGGTCGTCTGGAGTCAGTTTTAAGTCTGACTAGTCGTGGCTGAACCTCTATGACCACACAGGCCACATGATCATCCAAATCCTAATGCTGCATCTGAAGGATTTCTCCGGACCATCTCCTCCCCTGCACCTACTTGTTTTGTTGCTGTTTTGGGAGGTGTGTCCTGTCGCTTCCCCATCCGTCTGATCATCTCAGAAAAGCGCCGTCAGAGATGGTTTGACCGTCGGCTGGACCTCGGAGACGGCCGAAGCGCTGGAGCGGTGTTGGGGAACAAAATGGTTTTCCAAGGTGGTTTTGGGGCCAGACATGACCAGATGTTGCCATGGCAGCATGTTCATCTCCGTTCCCATGCTAGTGGCTTTTTTTAGTGGTGGTTCACCTGTATACTCCTTTTTTAGGGAGATGGCATGATGGGTTTCTGCAAATGGACTGGTGAGAAGAAGGAAACGGTTCAAAACAGTTCAAACCATATCAAACCCGAACTACGTTCTTCCAGGCAAACTGTAGCTATAGCATGCTATAGCTATATATGTATATATGTGTATAGCTTCTTATGAGCATGGGGGGGTCAGTTCGCACCGCTTCAGTCGGAGGTCTTGGAATCCTATGGCTACGATGGCACGCCGGGGCCCATCTCCTTGGAGCAATGGAGGCGCGCCACGCGCAGCGATGGGGACGGGGCCGTAGACGGGAGAAAGCGGAGTGACTGGGGCCAGTCACTGGGCTCCAGTGGGCTTTTAGAAGATGATTGATTGATAGCATCAATGAGTTAGTTCCAGGGGCGCGCTTGGCACGATGAAATCTGCGCAGATTCAATGAGCATTGGTTCATGGAGCCGGCAGATCTTCGATTGTGGAGCTTGGTTTCCTTGTAGGTTGCGCCTGAGAACTGAAAAAGATTTGCACAAGGGCTGATTTGATGACCTTGGAGAAAAAAGATCTACAGTATAAAAATAATCTACAATATATTGCTATATTCCTCATTATTCCTTCATATTATGCGTTTTTTGGGAATATTATCATCTCGATCAAAAGCACTTGGGAAGAACCGGCTTTAAGAGGATTCTCCCGGACCATCCCCGACCAGATATAAAGCTATCGCCTTTGACTTTGTCACGGGCCGAAACCAAGACGAGAAGGAGCGGACAGACGAGAACGAGACGTGGAGATGGCGATGGCGGGCTGATGGAGATGGCGTGAGAAGAAACACTCCCTAGGGTGGCCGTCAAGACTGCCCGTTCTACACCAGGTACTTCATGTCATTGAGTCATTGATTCACATCATATGCAGAAGACTACTGGGTTGGTGTGAGGAAAATGGTCGAACCCACGGGTCAATTCTCAGGATCCAATTTAGATGTGATCGTGTGCGGGGCGTGTATCGCTTAGTGACGCTCATGTCCGACTGCATGAACCTCAGGATCATACGCAAGGCATGCTCACTGTGTTCAGTGGGCTTAGCCAGCTGACTGGCCAAAATGGCAATGAAGCTGAGTGGCCACTCTGATGCCCTCTACCCATTGAAGATGTCTCCGTGGCTCCAGGACTTTGCAGTCTTGTCGAAGGCACCCGCCCTGGTGAACCCCTTGCTACTCGGATGCGGCAGTGGGTTTGGGAGCGAGGGCTGCCACCTTGATGGTCAGTCACATACATGTCCATGGTGTCGTGCTTCAGTCAAGCCTCATGTGGATGTTACAAGATTGAGAGTTTACTTTCATTGTGGAAATGCTGCATTAATCCCCCACCTAGCTTCAACTATTGACAAGATGCTTCTTGGAATGCTTCAACCTGCTTCTTGTTAGCATGTTACGAACCAATTGTGGAAGCTGATTGTGGAAGCTCATGGAGTTGCTGTCTATCCCCCACTGTGCCACCTGAAGCACCAGCGTCATGTGGTCAATCTCACGGGTCCCACGGAGGCTCCGCTTCATCGTCTACCGGCGTTGCCCACAGCAAGCGGCCGTTGGGAGTCTCAAGGGAAGTAGAGATGAAGAGGAGTACCACCAAACTACATGCAATAAAAGGGACACAGACATGAAAGTCAGTTAATTAGGCATACCTTATTGCATCCTATAGTTTAGGAACTAGAATCCCCTTTTTTCTGATATGAACATCGATTTACCTGATTGGACCACCGGTGCGGTTCTTCCGAGCAGCAATCAGGTCCATTCCATGTCTAGCGATGAACCGGCTCCTTGCCCAGCGCACCGCCGCGGGACCGGCCATGACCCACCGAGGCGTGGGTGAAGTCCGTCGCCGCGTGGCCCTTCCAACGGATCGTGCCAGCTCACCTCCAGGACGGGTGCCGCCGGTCGCCGGCTCGGTGCTCCGGGAACCGATCTGGGACCAAAGGCGAAGCGAAAAGGGTTGGGTCGAAGGGTTGGGCGGCTTTCTCTTCGGATGGACTTGGTTTGCGGATCATTCAGGTTCCACCATACCGAAGACACGCAGCATTGAGCACCACTGTTGAGCACCATTCCCGCCCATTCCGACAGCAGACACAGCTGTTCCATTCCGACCAGTTGGCATGGAACACCCAGTCAGTTGGAGTTCGCGGAAGAGCTGTATATCCCGCCCCACAGGGCCCGGCATGCGGGAACACCGTCTTTGTTTGTGGTTGTTGGCTCCGTTGACTCGATTCATCCTTGGTTGGCTGTCAGTTTCTATGTTCATCCAAGGATGATATTTACGTACTTACTGATCAGCATGGGCAAAGCTGGCAGATGAGATGCCAGGAAGTCATCAACGTGAGCTACAGATGGCGTACAGGATGCATGTCCAAATCAATACCAGAAAATACCAATATATCCAGACTTACTGTAATAAGAACGTATATATTGATATTTTATGAAGGAGTAGTACGTTCTTAATCACATATTTAGGTGCCATCATTGTTTCGGACCGTTCGCATCGCGTCAGAAAAAGCCGTGGGCCATTTTTTAGGCGCCATTTGATTGCAATCCGAAGCAGTTCCTGGAGGCTGCCGGGGCGAGATTGATGGATTTAGCCACATAGACGACTGAACACTGGCATGGCTAATTAGTAGGGGTGTTGTATTCATAACCTTTGCAAAAGTGGTCGGTGTTCGCATTTCAAGGTCCATGCTTGCATTGAGAAGCATTCAGATTCTCAAAAGAAGCGGAATTCAGGCCATGCCACCACCTGATCCCATTGTTGACGCATGTTGACGCCAGAGCTTGAAGACCTTGGCTTCTTTCAATAGCTTTTGACACCTCCCGTGTCCTCGGGTGTTAAGTGAACGGGTCCATGGGTGAGCCAGCGGTCGCGCCAGCGGTGCCAGCGGTCGCCCTGCCTGCGCCCTGTGAGGCATTTGGCTTCCTGTTCGATCGGAAGAGCTCCTGGGAGCCAGAGGAGTCGAGCGAAGGGGCGTACGAAAGAGTGGTTGTGAACCGAATGGGGGGGCGTCTAGCATGCTATAGCTATAGCTACATGCATACATGATATATGACTATAGTACCTAGTACGATCTAATACGCTGCCGTTGAATTCATGGCTTTTTGTGGCGCTACATGTTGCATGTCAGGGTCAGATATGTGTTTGTGTACTTTGGAGCTTCTGGGTGTGACGCTCCCTCACTCTCATTCAGTTGCCACCAGTCGCTGACTTCCAGGATGAGCAGCTGTCATTCCTGCGGTCCCTTCGGGAGATCGTGGGAGGCCTCCCTGGGTCTGATGCTCCGTGGCAGGCTTCGTAGGATGAAGCACCTCATTTGTAAACTCTTCACTTTCACAGCTCGAATCCTGGAATCCTGTTTCGCAAGCGTGCAGTCACTTATCCGAGATATCCGAGTCAAGGAAGTCATAATAGGCAAACACTCTGCGGAGTGACCAGAGTGAGCAATGCCACAGGAAGTCACTGTAACCCAAGGTGTGGGATCAAGGTGTGGGATTCAGCTTGTCAGTTGGCCATTGGTTGCACCAAATATATAGGTCAGATATGGTCAGATCATCAGTCGCAACCGCCGAGCGGCCGAGCGGTTGAACTGCGGGCGGTCAGGCCCCACCTTCTGACCGAGCCTTCCGACTGTGCCGGTGGGAGATGGATCAGCTTCAGGTGGGAGATGGACCAACTTAAGATGAAGAAGACTGATGATACTGATGATACTGGATGGCTTGAGAATAATCCTTCTTTCCCGGATCCACGGATCCACCGTACCTCAGAAGGTAATTGGACCCTCCTGGCGCCTACATAAATAGTCTCCAATCACCGTACCTCAGAAGGTATGTGGATCTATAGGGTTTATGAATCATGCGATTATCTCATCTATAGGATGTTCGCTTCCAACTGTGGTTCACTTGCAGTTATGTTTTCGTTCAAGTAACTGCAGGTAACTGTCGTGTTTGAGATGATTACAATTCACTTGTTGTTAAACAAAGGTGACCTCAGATGCCTTATGAAGTTCTGGTTGCCTATTGCTTGCTGGGATAGAATCTTTATGTTTGTCATTTAGCTTTGTCATCGCAATCAGGCTCAAGAGCACTTCTCAGTGTAGCTTGCCAACCCTTCCTTTCATATCACACTCGCCATCTATTGATGCGGTCCCAGATGGATCATGGCATCGGCGATGTTCCTCTCGTGTGCATTGCTGTGCAGCTTGCTGGCAGAAGCTCTCAGAGACAGCGCCTCTGAATCCCTGGCTTTAGACTCTGTCCCTGAGGGCCGAGCTGAAGGCAGACGATGCTGAGAAAATTCGTTAAGCAGCCTTGCAATTGAAGGTGAAAGTGGTACCCTGCCCCTTATCTATATATATATATATGTATCCGCCCAGACTACTTCACCTGCTGCCATGCTGCAAGCCAGCTGAATGGCTAGAAGATTCCAGGTCACCCAAGCTAACAAATTTTTGACAGGACTGAAAGATTGAGGCAATGGATGTAGCCAACTGGATCTTGCCATGGCGAGTCTTGTACACCCAATTGGGGGCACCGCCAGGCGAGACGGAGCCGTGTGCGAAAGAAGCCAACGAGACGAAGCGGGTGCTGCGGGAACTCGGCTATTCAGGCTCCGGGCTTTGGGCTTGAGAAGAGGGGGGAAGGAAGCGAGGCTTTCAGGTGAAGACGGTCAATAGTATGATCCTGAGAAGGGAGAAGGGCAAAGCTTAGATTTGTACCCAAACCGGTCTCAATGGCAGCTCGTTTCCCTCTTGGATGTATCTCTCATCACTTCAGCAATGTTCCTGGATGTGCAAAAACTTCGGTGTGTCACAAAACGTTGAGTCCCTAAATGCCTTATTTATTGGGGTGTGACTGTCACGGGGCGATGAAGTCCGCGCAGCCCTCGAATCAGTGTCACAGTTGGCAGACACCTATTGTTCATGATTGTTCTTCTAGCGATTAATCTCCTAGCTGCGCTTTCCCAGGCGAGCCGCGCGAAAGCCAAGTCATTTGGTATGCAGACAACGGATGCGTCCACAGGATTGTGTGCTCCGAATGCGCTGGCCGCCTGCCAGAACGGATTCATTTGCAACACCTCGACACTGTGGCTGGCTGCATGTTGAGCAAAAGTATGCTCTAAATGTTGACGTTGCCCTTGATGTTCACAAAAGTTTTGTGCCTGAAGGCCACATCCAAAAAAGGTTGAGTTCTGAAAGGTCAGGGAATGTGAGCCTTATTTGCTCATAGGAGATCAGATGAGTCGGCTTAGTTCCAGCTATTTTTATGTTCCCTTCCAAAGCTACCACAGTAAGGTAGAGCTCACATCGCCGAAACTGACAGGCAACATCCGTGCATTTGAGGGCCTCAAGGAACTTCAAAGACTAAACTTGAAGAACACCCAAGTTGAAGGCGACATTGGAGTGTTTGCTTCAACCCCCAGGCTCCTGAACTTGTACCTGCAAGGCACCCAAGTCAAAGGTGACCTTGAAGTCTTTCGCAAGACCCCGGAGCTTGAGAGCTTGGGCCTGGAGCATACCCATGTGGTTGGTGATATCCAGGCCCTCGAAGCAACGACCAGGCTTACTCAGCTCTGGCTGCATACCACCAGCGTTTGGGGAAGTGTCAAAGCATTGAGGTCCACACCACGTCTCCAGTGGTTGTATTTGGGAAAGACGAAAGTGCATGGAGATCTTCGAGCGTTGGGGGATTTGCGTTCGCTTTTTGAGTTGGATCTGGCCCACACTGACTTGGTCGGTGATTTAGAGCAGTTGCCAAAAGCCCACCGCTTGGAGATCCTGAAGTTGCGCGGCACTCGGGTGAGTGGAAACCTGTCCACACTGCTTCGGTGGCCGCGTCTCAAGAAAGTGGACTTGTCCAGCACAGGGGTCAGGGGTGGCGTCACTGAAGCCTGGAGAGGCCGGCTTCGGATTCTCCAAGTCCTCAAGCTGGCCAAGTCCTCCGTTCGGTTTGTGCCAAGAGGGGATGAGTTGGCCAAGCTGAAGCAGGTCTGGGAAGATGAAGATCATGCCCTACTAAAGGAGTTGAAGAGCTTGGACGTGAGCGGCTGTCCCATGATCCAGTTCAAAGTCTAGTTTGGCCATTGTTTTTTGTCAATAAGAAGCCAGAAATTGAATGAAATTGACGCAATGGATCGCCTCAAGCCGGCCACTGAGGTCCCTTAAACTGCACCGTCAGCGACTTCCTCATGCCGCTGGCCATAGCCAGGATCACGACCATCAAAGCTGCGCGGGCCGGACTGCAAGGTCAAGTTCACGCGTTGACCCATGTCGGCGGGGTCACAATCTATGCCAGTGAAGATTTTTCTTACGAGTCTGATGACGAAACCTTCCCCCTTGCCAATTCCTTGTTGTTGTTGGACTTGACCGGCAACAATGTGACCCATATGCCACGGCTTCCTTTGGCCCCTGGTTCGCGCCGCTTTCTGCTGCGTGACATAGACAAGCTCCATTTGGGTCCCACTGTCCTATCGCAAGCACTGAAGGAAGGGACGATCCTGGACTTGTCTGGAACAACTGTGGTTAACAAGGATGAGGCCACGAGTCAAAATGCAAGCCACCAAAGACCATTGGGTCCAAATAGATGTAGCTTGATAATGCTAGATTTATAGATTGTTAGAAGCATTTACTTTAGGACCCAAAGCAGACCAAAACCCCTGAGGCGAAGCGACTACTCCAGGAAGATGTGCTGAAAATCACCGACGACCATGCCTTTCGGGACACTCACGGAGGCTTTGTGTGCAAAAACCTGCTCGGATTCAACATCTTCGTCACTCCCTCAAAGTTTCTCCCCGACCAGCTCTGCCAATGCATGGCAGGAAGGTATGGCAGAGGCGCCGCATGCCAAACATGTCCTGCCAACACGTTCAGCAAACGTTTGGGCCAAAGGGATTGCACCAAATGCCCCGCCAACAGCACAGCAAAACAAGGCTCCAGCAAGCCAGGCGATTGTCGATGTGCCTACGGAAGGCTGCACAACGGCACCTGCGGATGTGATCTTCACCATGCTTTACAGGGCAGTGACTGCATTCCATGCACGCGGCTTCGTTTGCAGTGCAACCAGACAGGAAGCGCTGCCGCAACAGCCCCGCCTGAAGTGCAGCATGCGCGCTTGGAAGCAAAGGCTGAAGTAGCACACAGGTGTCTCCCACCTAATGCATCCAGCCGCTGCCCTGGAAGCAACCAGTGTGGCCTCGGTTACAATGGCACCTTATGTTCAAGCTGCGCAGATGGATTTTGGGCCGCCAGAGGACTTTGCTGGTGACTTGGTTGCACTTTTGGGGTTCGGTTTGGGATGACTCTTTTTGCAGTCACGCTCTCCCTTGAACAGATTCAATATATATATATATATATATGGTACCCCCCCTGAGATCCACCTTTGATGCTCTTCCAAAGACTTATACTTACACAAAATCAGACTTGGGATTTTCAAGTCTGAACAGCTTTCAGACTTGGGATGCAAGATTGCGATCCCTGGATTGAAGATTGAAGATTGAAGATCTCACAAAACTCTTGGCAGAATCACCATTCATTAAGATAGAAGCTACAAAATTTACAGAAGTTGGCTATGTTGGTAGAGATGTAGAGACTCTTTGCTAAAACTCTACAATCCAGATCCATGGGTTGAAGATTGAAGATGTGAGGGTTGAAGATTTCTGGCCAAGAGTTTTCTCACATCTTCAATCTTCAATCCAGGGATCTGGATTGAAGACTTCCGCCCAAGAGTTTTTTCACGTCTTCCATATGCAATCCACGGATCCAATAGTTATGTGAAGTCTGGAACTGGGAAGAGTGATGTCACAGAATGAATAGGGACCTCAAGTCTGAGCACTGAATCTCAAGTCTGAAAACGGGTTCATTTGACAAAGGCAACTCATGAATGCATGCTTCGCTGCTTTGCTTTCTTTGTGCATGTCCATGCGGCATGTCCATGCGGAAATGTCTTCCATGTGGCTTGGCTGAGAAACGGGCTGATATAGAAGCGGACGCGGCGACCTTCGACAAACAGGTTGAAAAACGAAGTACTACACTGGGAGCAATGGTGCGGGATAGTTCAGCTGGACTCCAAATGGTTCATTGGTCAAATGGTTCATGGCAGAGTCCTAGCTGGCCAGAGCTCAGGAGCCAACAAAATGGGGAAACATGTGTGTGAGGGCACTCTTGCTGCCTATGAAGGCTGATACTCTGATTCGTAAATGTATATCTTCCTGTCCTAACATTTGTCCCTGTCTTCTCTTTGTATGCTTCCTCCGTTGGGTTCCAATGACTTCTGGCAACTTTTCCTCTACAGGATCTACACTTAGTTTCTTCATTTCCAGCGCGTGCCTTTAAAAACAACCTCCTCCTTGCATCCAATGCCGACCTGCTTCCCTTTGCCACTGCACGTGTGTATGCTGGCACAATCTGCCTGTAAAAGTTGCATACACTCAGTGCATACTAGCTCGACGTATGCAGCGAGTTTATCATGTATGTCTTGGATAGAGCACCAAAGGTGGATCTCAGGGGGGGTTAGCGGCTAGCATATATATATATATATATATTTATTTTGTTTAAATTTATATATGTGTATAGCTGTTGACTGACATGTCGTCTTGTTATAGGAAGAACACAATGCATACA